CCCCACTCCCGAGAAGTATCCTCCTGTCCTGGAAGAGTGCAGGGCTTGATAGCCACTCCCATAGTGCCCAATTTACTCTCAGAGATCAGGCCGTTCACCATTTTGACGAGAGTTGCCAGATCTTTCCCCTTTTTCGCCGCTGCGCCTGCCAATTTGTGAACGAACACGGTGCCGCTGAGTCCGCGACGTCCTGCATTGGCGTTCACCACAGCCACATCCTCTCCGACCACGACCATGTCGCACTTAAGCCCCTCAGCCTTGGCCTGTTCCACGGCCAGGCCGAAGTTAAGGCGGTCGCCCGTGTAGTTCTTGACGATGACCAGGCAGCCGTGCGGGCCAGCGGCTAGTCGAATGGCCGTAAGAACCTGCTGCGTGGAGGGCGAGGCGAACACGCCACCGCACACCACAGCGGTCAGCATTCCTTCGCCGATGTAACCGGCGTGAGTGGGCTCGTGGCCGCTGCCGCCGCCCGAAATGAGCGTCACTTGGCGCTCGCGGATGGCCACGTAGTCGCGGTGCAACAGCACGCGCTCACTCGGTTCCAGCACCAGATGCGGGTGAGAGAGGGCCATGCCTTCGACCATGTCGGCAACGATGTTGTGGCTGTCTCGCACGAGTTGCTTGGCCTTGGGCATTATCGGAGTGTTTGTCTTCGTCGCTTGTCACTTGGGTTGCGGATTATGGAATGACACGGAAGATCGACACTCCTCGAAATGACTTGGCGTTTGTATGAAATCCAACTTGAAGTCCCGTGTGCTACGTTGGCAAATTCACTTCGTTGGCAAATTTCCAATTACAATATGATAAAGCTAAAAGAAAAGCGGCGATCTTTGTATTCACGAGAGCTATGAACTTGTACATGCAGAACAGAGATCGATCAGTAAATGGTCTTGTCGTAGCTACAAGTCCTGAGAATGTCACTGCCAATGTTTGCAGGTAACGCGTACACGCACTCCGTAGTGACGGACGACGGCACGCTGCAACTGTTGCCCACGTACGAGTTCGCCTTGTTGGTAAGGAACCTCTGGGTAGATGTTGACTGTACACGTATTGTCATCTTGTAGTTGCCATAGCTGGCTTTGCGTGCCATGCAAAAGTAAGGGGAAAAGTCATTCACGCTGTCGGTGCTTCGACTAGCAGCAGCGGCAGCTTGACTCAGCGGATACCGACCGACAGCGAGCACGTATGTGCCTTGGCTGAGCTGTCGGATCAAGTAAGAGTCTTGTGCCGACACTGACCCATCAGTTCGTCCACGACTGAAGTATACGCTGTTGTCGTCGCCAGTATCGTCGTTGCTTGCCACCAAGGACAGCGAGCCGTCCGTGAGCCTCTGGAACAGGTAAACTTGAGGATCGATGTACGCCGAGTCACAGTCGGCATTCACATCGGTGAATGTCTTGTTGTCTGCCGTCTCCATTGACAGCAAGTCGATCTCCACAATAGCTGTTGACGCGGCAATATTCATCGTATACTGGTCCACTGTCAGGTAGCCCGCCTTGCGGAAAATAGTGCCGGTCACGACCTCCCTCACAACTGGGAGAGCAGCTTCGCTACCCACCCACCACGACACAGCGTGCACCAGCAACACTGCAACACTTGTCGAACCAAAAACGCCACGCATCTTAGCTAGGAGAGCACGAAGTTGTCGGTGATCTAGGATGCGGTAAGAATCAAAGTGAGCGAGTGAGGAGACCAACCCTCAACGTACGCGACGTTGCAGTCTGATCAAAAGCCGAGAAAACGCTCATACCATCCGTCACTCTGACACCAAAACAGCCAAGCCCAGCAACAGCGTGTGAATAACCAACCTGTCAGTTTCACGGGATGCAACACCAATATCTGCGATCATAAAAAAATCAAAGCACGTGCATTCTCAAGTAACGAGTCTATAAAGCCTGGTTGCAGCCTCCATCTCAGACCGCTGCACCTCTTCCTGCTTAATTGCCGAGCAGGTCGTAGTCGTCGAGCTTGTCGTTGTACTTCATGATGGTTCTCTTGATCTTGGAGCTGTCCACCCATGTGACAAAGTCCTCCATGGGGCGAGTGACCAAAAAGGCTGGATCCGTCACGACTGTGGGGCCTACACGGACGTGTCCTTGTTCCACGAACGTCGTGGCTTCCTTGATGCTCTCAGCCATTTTGACGCGCACCATTACAACGGGCAAGCGACGGCGACAGAACGCGGAGACGTTGACTTCTTCGGCCTTAAGCAAACTCTTCTTGGTCTGAATCAGTCCCATATTGTAGAGCTTGTCCAGCAGTGCCGTCGTGGTCTTGACGCGGTATGGATCATTGGCTGGACGCTTCTTGAGTCTCGCTACGACTTTCGAGATGTGGCCTACCAAACGGTTATACTTGTGGTACTGCTCGCGGTCCGGGATGCGGTAGCGGCGGATAACCTTGATCTCATGCAGGTTGTTCTCCTTCTTCCATTCCAACAAGTCCACCTTCCTGAGCAGCTTCTGCTCATGGAACTTGAGTTGGCGACCCATTTTGCTGCGTGTCGAAAAAGCAAAAATGGGTCTCCAGGGTACACCCATACAAAAACCAAGTATAGCCAAGTGTACCCCTGTCATTCTACGTTGCACACACCAGTTCACGTGGTCCACATGACGCTCCCACGACCAACGAATCGTAGCTGCTGGATCAACCGTCTCCTGTCATTTCCAATTAGCGTAACCCTTGTATCATGACGGCCGCGGACGTGGAGAAGAAGAGCAAGAAGAAGAAGCTCAAGGCCTCAGAGGCCGAGGGCAAAGATCTCATCGCCCCGGAAAGCCACACGCCCGCTCTGGACACGAGCAAGTGGCCGCTTCTGCTCAAGAACTACCACCAGCTCAATGTCCGCACTGGCCACTACACGCCCATCGCGTGCAGCTCGTCCCCGCTGAAGCGTAACCTGCAGGACTATGTGCGCTATGGTGTCATCAACCTCGACAAGCCAGCCAACCCTTCGTCGCACGAAGTTGTGGCGTGGATCCGCCGCATCTTGCGTGTGGAGAAGACCGGTCACTCCGGAACTCTCGATCCCAAGGTCACTGGCTGCCTAATCGTGTGTGTGGACCGCGCCACGCGTCTGGTTAAGGCTCAACAGGGCGCTGGTAAGGAGTACGTTGCTGTGGTGCGTCTGCACAGCGCCATCGAGAGTCAGGCCAAGCTCGCCCGCGCCATTGAGACGCTCACTGGAGCTCTCTTCCAGCGTCCTCCTCTTATTTCTGCTGTGAAGCGTCAGCTGCGTATCCGTACGATCTACGAGTCGAAACTCATTGAGTACGATGAGGACCGCCACCTGGGTATCTTCCACGTGAGCTGTGAGGCTGGTACCTACATCCGTACCCTGTGTGTGCACTTGGGTCTTGTCCTTGGCGTGGGCGGCCACATGCAGGAGCTGCGTCGTGTGCGCTCCGGTGTGCTGGGCGAGAACGACTCGATGGTCACTATGCACGACGTGCTGGACGCGCAGTTCCAGTACGACACGTACAAGGACGAGTCGTACTTGCGTCGTATTGTGCGGCCGTTGGAGGTGCTGCTCACCACGTACAAGCGTATCGTGGTGAAGGACAGCTCGGTGAACGCCATCTGTTATGGTGCCAAGTTCATGATCCCGGGTCTGCTGCGCTTCGCTGACGACATCGACGTGGGTGAGGAGGTCGTGCTTATGACCACTAAGGGCGAGGCTATCGCTGTAGCTATTGCGCAGATGACCACTGCTGTGATGGCTACATGCGACCACGGTGTCGTGGCGAAGATCAAACGTGTCATTATGGAGAGAGACACGTACCCGCGTCGCTGGGGCTTGGGTCCTATGGCCCAGAAGGTCAAGGGTCTTGTTAAGGAGGGAAAGATCGGCAAGTACGGCAAGGTGAACGAGAACACGCCTGCGGACGTGTCGGAGCTGTACGGAAAGGACGAGAAGAAGCCTCTTGTGGCGGAAATCAAGCAGGAGGAGATCAAGGAGGAGAAGGATGAGGACGAGGCTCCTAAGAAGAAGCATAAGAAGGAGAAGAAGGAAAAGAAGGAGAAGAAAAAGAAGCACAAGCGTGACGCCGATGAGGCGGAAGTCGCGGAAGCTGGAGAATCTCCTGAGAAGAAGAAATCCAAGAAGAAGAAGAAAAAATCCAAGGAGACGAGCGACTCGGAATAGATGACCTCACACGTATGTATAGTGTGACTTTTTTCCCCATGACTACTCTTCCGGACAAAAAGGAGATAGCCTCTTCTAAGTCAGCTATAACAGCTTATGAGGACCCGAGCGCTGCGTTTATCGTGTCGCTTGAAAGTAATATATATCATGTATGTTTTTTTTTCTTAACTTCGGCGAAATTTTGAGAAAAGTCCACCTTTTTTCTTCTTGCTTGGTTTCGCTTGCCGTTTGTGGGCATTGGCAGCTCCAACTTGATCCACGAGACGTTCGCGTTCTCGTTCTTTCGCTCGAAGTACCAGAATCTGCTGGAAATGTTCACGTGCTCGTTTAGATCTCCAAGCACACTGAATTTTCACTGCACAAGCGAGTTGTTTGGCTCGGAATTGAATCTGCTTCTCGTCCTCGTACTCCTTCTTACGCGTAGCAATCACACGTGCACGGATTATCGGATCTTCGTGCGTGTTATTGGGATGGCCACGACGCATGATTCGGCCTGTCACCAAGTCCTCGAAAATATAATCCGGATCATCCTCAATATCGTCGTTTCTTCTCCGCCTTCTTTGACGCCGCCATTCTTTCTCCAAGCTCTCCTCGACCTCCTCTTCGTCACTTTCAATTCGTTCATAAGTGGTGTCAGGGGTGCCTGGTTCGATGATAGCCGAGTCGTTCTCTAGGTCGTCCGTGAAAATCGTAGGCGTTCCTTTACCGAAGACAATCGCTCTAGTTTTCCTCCGTTCCTTCGACTTCACGCGTTTAACACGAATGCGTTTCCAGCGATCTGTGAGCTTTGCGATAGGAACCAGTTCCGTGACCCCGATGCCATCAAGAACTACTCGAATTAACCCGAAGCGATCCTCAGGAGCCTCCACGACGATCGCGGAGTTGATCACTTTCTCGTCTTTGTTTGGGAATATCTTTACATACAGACCGTCTTCCGGTGTGACTGTGTCTTCTTGGTTGCTATCCTCACCCGTTTCACTTGATGAGGTAGGCACCATAGGTTTAAGTTGAGAGAGCATTCGCGGTAAAAAGCGTTTGAAAGCTCCATCTGTCGTGAAGCCCGCGCACATTTCGTCCTGTCTTGCTATCTCCATGAGCTCATTGATACTGGTTTCTTTCGGTTCTCGACGATAATTTCCAGCAGGGAAGTCTCTCTTAGAATAAAATTGAAACGAGATAGCGCACTTCTGAGCGATACTGGGCGCCACGATCACTTCTCGTCCAGGACGACACCAACGAGGCAAACTTGTGGCTTTAGTGAAGAGATAACGAAAGTAGTTTCGTTGAATCAGCGTAGCAGCTTTTCGTCTCCTTTTCAAGAGCTCCTGGTAGGTGTGAAATGCTCGTCGACCATGCCATACGCTCTGAATTAAAGTGGCCGAGTCGTACTCCAGTTGAGCACGAAGTAAGAACTTCCAGTGAATCTCATCTTTTTCCATTAAAAAGCATTCAGCTCGACGTAAACCTTGTAACTCAGCGTCGGAGAGAGTTTTGGGAGTTAATAGATAGCCAGGTAGAACCCAGTGCTTCTGTGAGTTGAGAAACACAGGAGTACCGTCCATGATGGCCTGCGTTCTTGTTGTTACGTAAGACTCGGACAGTTTGGTGATAAATCTATTGCGTATAGCTAACTCTTGCTCCAACTGCACGAACGTTTGTTGCATTGCTTGAAATCGGGTGTGCATGGATTGTTGGGCTTGTTTAATCTCATCCAGCTTTCGTGCCAACTCGAAATTTGTCTTGAAAAGTTGTGGAGATGCAGTACCCAGCGCAACAGAAGATTTGCGATCAGCAGGGGATAACTTAGGCGAAGCAGGGACACCGTAATCGACGGGATGGCGTAGATACATGGCAAACCAGAGCGAAGGTTTGTCTGGAGCGGTGAGAAGCAAATTAGTCAGTGCTCGAACAATTTCGTCGATTACCCTATCGAAATACGCGTCCAAATCGCGCTGAGCTAGAAGATCGAGACGAAGCTGATCTGAAAGACGCTCCTGTTCATGATCTAGATTCTCTTTCGACTGGGTAGAACTAGTGGGTAAAGGTACTTTGGTGGTATCAATACACCAGTTCGATTGCACGGACGGTTGTTCCAACTCGAGAAATTCATAGTCGACTCTCTTGAGACGGCGTTCACGGCCCACGAGCTTCAGCTCTTGCTCTAGAACGATAATTTCCCGGATCAGCCGCTTGCTCTCCATCTCGTCCTGTTTGGTATCGAGAAGAACACTTTGTATCACTCTTCGTTTCCTGTGCATCTCGAGGATCAAACTTTCAGATACGGTATTGTGAATTTCGTATTCAAGCTTGCACTATGAAAAAAATCACAGAAGATGTCAAGCACACGTGCAAATACAAGGAAGGGATTGACAATCATGAACGTACTGCTCGGCGTAAGTAGTCTGCGAGCCACGGAAGAGGAAACAGAGGTCTTGCCATCAACATTTCATTCAGCCCATCCGAAATGTGCTGAAGCAGCTCCAACACGTCAGAATTCTCCAGATACACTGAATTGGGTCGCTTAGCTGCATGTATTCGAGGCATATGCTTCTTCATCCATTGTTGCCGCCTCTGGTTGCACCGTTCCAACCCGCGCTTGTTCAGCCGCGGCATGTCCGATTAAACTTGAAACTGCACAACATGTAAAGAAAAAACAAACAAACTTGGAATAGAGCTAAAAAGGTTTTAACTACACAGTAATTACGGAGAACCTATCGATCATGCGTCTGGAGATTGTGATTTCGCACAGCGTCCATAATCACAAATTCCGGATGGAAACGTAATTGTTGCAGATCCATGTGCTTTTGGACCAATCGGATTGTAGACTGATGTAAAAGATACGTAATTTTAAGTTCACGCCGACCAGAATAATCTGTGGCTTGTCGCTGCCATGCCATTACAATAACGGAGAACCTATCGATCATGCGTCTGGAGATTGTGATTTCGCACAGCGTTCCATAATCACAAATTCCGGATGAAAACGTAATTGTTGCAGATCCATGTGATTTTGGACCAATCGGATTGTAGACTGATGTAAAAGATACGTAATTTTAAGTTCACGCTGCCATGCCATTATTGGCCAGATGACCACCCACGTCACAGAGATGCTGTCTACAAAGAAAACTATTACATGTAGTAGGAACTAATGACCAGCGATTCTCCGGGCTTTAGCTCCTACTGGAGCCTGTTCCCTTCAACTCGTGAGTGAGACCTCGTGAGAGCACTCCTCACTCTTCAAAGTGCTACGCATTGAGCACATTTCATCGCCATTGAATCATGTCAGCAACAAACGATTTCAAGACGTTTTCGACTGCAGGTTCCGTGGATCTCCTCGCATCGGTTGGCAATACCCCATTGCTGGAGCTCACCACGCTCTCTCGCTTAACGGGCTGCAAGCTACTGGCCAAGGCAGAGTACGCCAATCCAAGCGGGAGCATCAAGGATCGAGTGGCCAAGTCGCTAATTCTCGACGCTGAAGAACGCGGATTGATCAAACCAGGAGGCACGATCATTGAAGCTACGGGAGGCAGCACGGGTATCTCGCTCGCTCTTCTTGGAGCTTCTCGTGGCTACAAGACGCTGTTGACGATGCCGGACATCACGGCGAAGGAGAAGATCCAGATGATGAAAACCATGGGAGCTGAGGTTCGCGTGCTGCCGACGACCTCAATGGATGACAAGCAAAACAACTTCTTCCATGTCGCTCAGCGGCTCGCCAAGGAGACGCCGAATGCTTATTGTCCCAACCAGTTCGACAATCTTGCAAACATGCGAGCTCACTATGAGGGCACAGCTCCGGAAATCTGGGAACAGGTTGGTGGACAGATCGATGGATTCGTCTCGTCAGCAGGGACGTCAGGGACTATCGCCGGAATGTCGACGTTCTTGAAGGAGAAGAATCCTGACGTGAAGGTGTGGGTCATTGATCCTGCCGAGATCGCGAGCACTGCCATGTTCATCAACAATGACCGAACTTCGGGGACAGTCGAGGATGGCTACGAAATGCTTCCTGTAGTTAAAGGGTCATCCATTGCAGAAGGTGTGGCTGCACTCGCTCGTGTCACGAGTAATCTACGCGAAGCTATCATTGACAAAGGCGTCACAGGAACCAACCAGGAGATTGTCGACATGGCCTACTTCTTGCTGCGCCATGACGGAATCTTTGTTGGTCCGAGCAGTGCGTTGAATGTGCTTGGAGCAGTCAAGATGGCGAGAGAGCTGGGTCCGGGTCATACCATTGTGACGATCCTAGCTGATGGTGGTGTTCGCTACGGCAGCAAGCTGTATAATGACAACTGGCTCAAGGAGCATGGTATGCTGCCGCACGAGAACAATACCGACACGACGTTGGACTTTGTTGGAGATCTGGAGTTCCCCACTGCCATCTAACTCTTTTTGCGTTGCGCAGTACCTGGACTGCATTTGTAGGATTGGCTGTTTCATTTCAGAATGCGGAATGACTATTACGACCGGAATAGCAAATCAAACGAAACGGATTTGGATTACATTTTTAAAGTAATCTGGCACAGATTAACCTCCCTTAGCTAATACAGCCCGTGGAACATATTTTGATCAAGTATTTAAGTATTAAAATAGCAAGTTGATCATGTTAAGGAAGTTAGTGTGGTGCACATTCCTGAAATTTATTTGGACTCGAACGAAATTTTTCAAATCTGGAAAATTATGGAAATATCTGACGATACACCAGACTTTCAAGGACTCTACTGTGACCCTTTCAGAACCTGAATCCACGAGACGTTCGCGTTCTCGTTCTTTCGCTCG